CACAATCACCTTAATATATGCGCCACTCACAAGTCAAAGTGATTAACTCCATCAAATCGAATTTATTACATTTTTTTATTTATGAAGAATTAAGCACCAAGCATGTGCTTCGATACTAAAATTAGAGGAATATCAAAAACTGGAGTTAATCACTTCGGTTTCTGAGTGGCTCATAACACTACCGGCCTAAAGTTTCGAATCACCTCCCACTTTTCATCAATATTAAATCTGCTGCTAATTTTTTATAAATTTCAAGTTTATCTCAATTCTACGTTTATCAATTTATCTCACACCAATTGATTCAAATGATAAACAATTCTCAAAGCCCTTTTTCTGGAAATTTTTGTGTAAATTGCAATGCTCGGTGATTCCAAACTTTTGGCCGATAGTGTATATAGACCAAGAGTAAATTAAAAAATAGCACGTTACATAGCAAAACTATAAAACTTGTTAGAAAAGAAGAAAAATGATATATAACATTTCTCGTGTGGTCCACCAAGTGTCGGTGAAGATGAAAGATATTTATAAAACATTGTTATATGACATGTTGTCAATCGGTTCAAACTAGCTGTTATTTACCTTTGATAGGAAAACATTCACTCATTGCTTGATATCATTTTTTCCAATTATAAAATGGAATGGACAATGTCTATGAACTTCTAAGACAGAAATAAGAAGCACGACGCGTGGGCTGATTAGGCGTTGATATGGAGATAGTTCCAATCAAAATTGAAAAAAAAACATTTGAATACTGATTGGACAATTTCAGCGAGAGTTGGGGAAAGGAAAAAATACAAACTTGCTACAGTAACACCAAAAAGTATAATCTTGTAGCAAGTTGTAAAACAAGGTTATAAAACAATTAGTCTTGCTCTATAGTGCCATATCGTATCAGTAGCATTATAGTGCCCCAAATCTCGAGTCACATCTACCTTTTCTTTGTTTCTACCATTTACGATCCTCGTTCTTTGCTTACAGTAATTGATATTTCGAAATCTGAAGTTCTCCGTACTGGGTGCTACATAAAACTTAGAAATACACTTTAACGGGAGAACCGGTGCCGAGTTGACGTCGTACGGCTCTGAACGAGGCTCGAGCTTCTTATCTCACCCAACTGATGTTACGACGATCGAATTTCGTGTTCCTTCACGGCTGTCTGATTTTACGACCACGCTATACCTCTTCCACCGACTATACCTACCTGTCCCCCTTGCACAACCCGGAATCTTCAACTGCCCAATCGACGTAAAGGCCAGGTGTGTCGTCCCTTGGCCCAGCACCGAAACGGGGACTTTTCGGATCTGCGCTAACTTCCACCGCGTGGATCGTAACTTGCGTAGAACCAGAAATACAACTGTGAAAGAAAGAAAACATCGAACGTGTTTCACTTTTTGTCCGTACGCGAGAAAGTTGAACGAAAGAAACTATTTGAAATAATTGAAACAGCGAATGTATTCTGTCTGATTACTTCTTCGACAAATCAATTACCCCCGGGGCAATGGGAAACGAATTGAAAGCAACGCGTTTACTTTTAGATAGAAACAAATCATGATTTTTAGAAAAAGTACCTGAATATTGTATCGTTCTTTTGTTTTTCTTGGGTCTGCGCCAATTCTAAGGCAGCTTGAAGAGCTCTGCTCTCCTCGCGGAGAGTCAAAAGTTCAAGTTCCTCCCGTCCAAGTCTGTATTCTAACTCGGCTTGTTGAATTCGAACGTCAATATTGCTGAAACAAATAACCGTAAAGTAGGATAAATTGTTTGAAATAAACGCAAAGCGAATGAGAAGAATATTATTGTGAAAACAAGAAAGAAAAGAAAGGAGAGTTCAGAGTTCACTGACGATGGATTCAGGACGTATTTCAGGGTGTCAAGAGATCAGATCATGGAGGCGTCGAGAGGGAAAGTTGTGGGCTGCTATGTTTCCGAAAAATCGCTCACGAGGGAATGCCACGTCGAGATAACTTAGCTTCCGAAAAGAACGTAGCACAGCTTAGCCTGGCTTTTGGTGCAAACAGTTCCGTATACGTATGTATCGAAGCAAATATGTTCAAACGTAGGATTGACTGGGGTTGACAAAGGTATTGACTTTTGGAACTCTCGGTTAATTAATGACATCTGTATATTCTAAATATCACGATGTGAAACTGATATAACGCTCTAAGCTCACAGTGTTACGGACTCACAACTTGCGTTACGTTGTTCTCTCACACCCTCGCATTCTTTCTTTCTCTAGCTCTCTGTTGCTTTCACTCTAGGCAGACATTCTTTGAAAACATTCATTCGTGTTCATCAAGTATTTTGGGTGGCCACGCATTCTCCGTTCACACGATATTCTCAAAAACCCGTTCCAAACACTCTTCGTCCACACCTCTATCTCCCTAGCTCAAGCACTCTTTGTGCACACTCTATCTCTCTAGCTCAAGCACTCTTCTTTCACAACTATGGCTTCGTTATAAACGTATCCTATCACTCCCACAATAGCTTAGCTTAGCTTAGCTTAGGTTTCCGGTGGATCCTCGACTTCACTCTCTTCGATAGATCACGGAAGATGCGTGCGATGAACGCATTCAAGAGTGTTGGGTAAAGTACGGAGTCATGTGGGACGTCGATCACTATGTTATGGGTGTCTGAACGAGCTTGTCCGAATTTCACTGTTATCTTTCTATTGGTAAGAAAGAAGTGAACGAGTCAAAGATTTTAGGCCCGGTCTCACAGTGACCGAAAGTTAAATAATTACAAAAGGCATAATCATCCGACACAAGTATCCCCACCGCGTGTTGACGAAATGCAACTGACGAGATTCGAGTAAAACCACCGAAGTTCTACTGTATAACCAGGCTATTTTTTACATTGTTATTCGTGAAAAGTAAAGTTTTAAAATGTGGCCCCGTAGAGCCCAGTGTGTGGGACCCCAGTAAACGCAGCTCTGGACACATGTCACTATCAGCGTGTCATTCCAACCCTGACGTGAGCTGCAATGCTTGCAAACAGTCGACACGGCTTACACCCGGAAGCTTTAACAATGATAACTACGTAAGGAGTGAACGAGTTTGACAAGGTAAACTGGTGTATTGTGGGCTAGGAGGTGGTGCTCGATCCTGTCACATGCGTAACGGACATCGCTCGAGTATCAGTAGACCTTTGGTGCAATAAAGGAAACCGACGAAAGTTCCGTATCCGAGCGCAACCTTCCACCTTCGATGAAACAGTATTTTACTTAAGATCTCTAGACAGCTGGTCACCGTATGAGTGAGAAATTGTAAGTATTATTATTTTTTAAACATGTGTTCGTTTCCAGGAATCCTAAGACGATTTACAAATAAACAAACCCAAAACTCCTCTCGCTATCACCTCGCAAACCACAGCCAGAATAAAATAGCTACATCCACGTCCGCAAACACTCTTACACCAATAGAAAAATAGCCACGCCAGGTTTATGTTTTGCTCAGAGGGCCACGAGAAAATTTTGAAAAGTGTAAACGTAACGCGATGCGTTTAACCCCTTAACGTATGACAACGCGTCAGACTCGTGGCAGAGATTCTGGCGAAGGTATGAGAAAAATAGTTAAATTAGTAAGAAGAACTCATTGCAATCCTAACTTTCGTTTGAATTTCTAAGACTGAGTATTGCTAAATGTAATTAACCTGTAACAGATTACCTTTCGTCACCTGATACAGTATGGGAACAATAAATGGCTGACGCTTAGATGCTTAGTCGAAAAAGAAATCATATGTTAAGGGGTTAATACAAAGCTTATCCAAGGTTCTTTCTACTCACTCTGTAATATCCAAACGTTCGAGGGCTAGCTTTAGGTTTTTTATCGCTAGCCGTTTATTGTCTGCATCGCGCCTCAACCTCTGAAGCCGTTCCTCGGTTGCCTTTCTGTCAGCCTCGGTCAAGGGTGGAGCGCCATTACGCAATGCTAATCGGTTGCTTAGGGTGTTGCACAGTTGCCCTTTCAATCTGAAATATTACAATGGAATTCACTAATCTGAAACGGTGATTATTATTAATATAAACAATGGTAATAGTGATATGATAACGATAAACAATTCTGAACCACAACGAAATACTTAACTTACTTGGCTTCGTCAAAGAAACCAAATTAACCGACAAAATATAGCGAAACAACACAGACTGTTCAACGTCGCTAATAACCTCGCAGTTGATGCAACGAAAAACAAGGAGAGAGAAAAAATAAACATATCGCCATAAATTATTCCATTTACTAGTGCGTTCTTTTGTTACTGTCACGGGAACTGAACATACGGTGAGTCATGCACAGGTATTTGTACGTGAACAAAAGTAAGTGAGATATTTCGTTATTAAATTGAAAATTGCTTGTAACTTTGTCCATGTTACCAGTGTATTCTATTCTGTTTAGAAGGATTGACAGTACATTTGAAGTATTCTTTTTAATATTTCCTAAAATAATAATAATTGTACTTATTTATATTCTATTTATATTGTTAAACTTTAATCCAGGCATGGGCAACCTTTCCTGCTTCTGGGGCCAAATAATCATTCTCTCTCCGAGTCAAGAACCAAATTAAATGGGTTTTCGCGCGTGTTTTTATGTATCAATACATTAATATCTCCGATGTAATGTTGCATGTGTTTGATATAACTTTGGCTAAATATTAAATAGAAAAGGCTAGTTTATTAAATAAAATTATAAAACGAAGA